TGTGTGTACATGTGTCTCTGTGTACATGTGTGTCTGTGTACATGTGTGTACATGTGTGTACATGTGTGTACCAGAGTTGGCCAGTGCCATGGCCTTCAGCGTCACCACCTCCTCAGGACTCAGGCTCATCAGCTGGTACTTCACTGTCAGGTGACGCAGCGCCTCGTACAGCTCGGCCAATCCCAGCGATCGACACTGGCCCTCGTCCAACCGCAGGTTCCCGGCAAACACCAGCTCCTCCCCTGGTGCGCCCTGCGATCGCCAGGCCACACCCACCAGCAGCGCTTCCATCCAACCGTTCTGCAACAGAGACATCTGATCGACCAATGACAGGCCGGAGAAGCCTGGGAGGGGGCGGGGCAGAGCAGGTGTCAGTTCACATGACTGAAGAGAATAAAAACGTCAGAACGCGTTTGTGGGCGTTTACCTGGGATCTGTTTGGCCCAGTCAATCAGAACCAGCAGCTCGCGGTTCAGGAGGTCACACAGGGTCAGCAGGGCGCACAGGCTGCTGTCATTGGTCGAACTGTCCTGATTGGCAGCCAGTGGGGCGGGGTCAGTGAGCAGCAGGTGTGAAATCATCTTGTTTCCTGAAAGACGGACGTGAGGTCAATAACAGCAGCTGATTGGACGACGTGTGAGTCACATGATGAATGTTTACTCACTGCTGCTGATCAGGTGACTGCACCTCCCTGTCTCCACCCGCCGCTTGTACTTCTGTCGTCCCCCTCGGACCCGGTCCAAACGCACCCCTGCACCACAGACACACACCGGTTTACCTTGTTGTTGTGTTTCTGTTGTGTGTCTCTGTTGTGTCTCTGTGTTGTGTCTCTGTTGTGTCTCTCTGTTGTGTCTCTGTGTGGTCGTTGTCTGTCTCTGTGTGGTCGTTGTCTGTCTGTTGTGTCTCTGTGTCTGTGTTGTGTGTCTGTCTTACCCTCCCTCATCATCCCGGCCTGGAGACACTTCTGGAAGCGACAGGCCTGACAGGCCTTTCTCCGCCTCTTCGTGATCTCACAGTCGCTCGTTACTGGACAGCTGTATTCGATGTTGCCTGGGCAACGACAGGAAACTTTATTGAGAGATGAGTCGTGGACGATGAGGTTTTAATGAGTCGATCATGTGATGAAACATTAATTAGTTTGATTCCCTCCGTGCACGTTTTCTCTTCTCACAGAAATCTATATGTCCGTCCACCCCCCCCCCCACAGCCAAGTGTTTACTGGGGCTGAAAACCTCAGAGTCCGTTAACAGGATATTGACGAGCGGCGGCCGGAGGCTGTTTCTCACCGACTCTGGGTTTTACTGATCAATAGGTAAACGAGTGACATCATCAGAACCGGCCGCGGCTCAGTTTCATCAGGTCAGATTCAGATTACGACGACGTCACGTTGACGCAGCGTCACGTTGACGCAGCGTCACGCTCCAGACGTGTCGTCATATATTCATCTGTTTACTTTAACTTCAATCACTGGATCAAAGGATCAGTCTGAATGATGATGTCACACACTCCTCACCCTGGACGGTTCTCTTGAAGAACGCCTTGCAGGCCTCGCAGGACGCCACTCCGTAGTGATACCCGGAGGCAAAGTCTCCACACACCAGACAGAGCCTTTTGGGCCCTGCAGCGCCCCCTGGTGTCAAGTAGTCCCCCCTCAGGATGGAGTCCACCTGCGGACAGAAGACACGCCCACGTCGTTAAATGTGCTGAAACTCCTCAAAAACTTTATTTACTCTTGTTGTAACTTTACTCTTGTTGTTCTTGTTGTA